TTGACACCTGAACGACTTCTAAAATATACCGATAAAACTCTGTCCATATGAATATAAAGTGTGAGCATACGTCTATCATTGGTAAGAAAATCAGACCATTTACTCGAGTCGTAACAGAGATATTGAATTGTTTCTCGCTTGTGTGACTTTTGGGCACTCTTCATTATATTCTTTTTCTCTTGTAGATATTCAACGTGTTTAATCAAACTATGAGCCGGCGTATTCCTTCGGTATGGCAGTACAAGGATATGATGGATTTTTAAGACAGTTCGTCTGCAGTGATGTCCCACCGCTGAACATTGCCCCAGAGACAGAAACTTCATTGCTTAGATTGGGCGAGCTTCACCTAAGTAGTAGACCCTCAGATTTATATTTTTGCCGAGCACAAATACGTATGGAGGTTTTCTGAAAGCCAAAAAATTCTAGTATGCTTCCCTGGAAGATGATCTTGATCCAATACTGCTGAGATCAACACTCATGTTTACCTCTTACGTGTAGCCTAGTTAAATGCACATGCCATCTCTGAAACAGTTCAGATGACACTTCTGTTTCATTCTACTCTATTTGTTTATATTAGGAACGAGATGTGTATTCGAACAAGAGGGTTCACACTCCCGTTCCGCCTGTAGTGTCAATGGAGCCGCCAAGTCCATTCTCTTCGGAACTTGCTGCCTCATCCAAATACATGAAACCAATCGGGCATATACCCAACTTTTCAGGAATTCATAATAATTACAACTCTCATGAATCCTTGGATACAGAGTTATCACTGAACAAAGTTAAACTCGTTGCAGATCCAGCACAACTGTTAAAACTTCGTGAAAAATTTCTGGTGTATGAAGATAACTTCAAAAGTACCATCGCTCAATCCATCAGAAATAGACTTTCTTTTGCTGATTTACATCGTGTGTGTTCGAAGTACGATAAGAACGGCATGAAACAACATGAAGACAAGAGCGAGCAGACTATGCAGTACTTTGCTAACAAGGGTGTAGCGCCTGATGCAGCGCAAGCGTGTGCTTTTGCAATTTGTTTTTATACAGGGTCGAATAGTGGAAAGATCAATCGTGGCGCATCAACAATGGCTCGACGAGGCAACGGCGAGGCGACCAGCGTATTGGAAGATACAGAAGCAGATCACGCTAGCATCATTATGTACTATCTCATCTTGGGCTTATCACATATCGATTTCTATTGGGGCACCGTCACACGTGCGGCCAATATGCACGAGGAAGACCTAGATGAATACTTCGAAGGTGCCCTTATCACCTGGATTCAGTTCAGCAGTTCCATGAAAGGTGAACGACCAGCACAACATTTCGCCAAACGTAATACTGTCTTCACTATATATTCACTCACTGGTCGTAGGATCCAAGACTTTTCTAACTTTTCTGATGAAGATGAAGTTCTTTTTATGCCTCATTCGTCTTTTTTTGTGACCCATGTGAAGAGAGACACCTATCAAAATCGTATTTTTATGCGTCAAATTGAGCTGGGATTGTGCCAACACTCAGTTATGTGGGTCGACGATCGTATTTTCGACGAAACGTGGGAAAACAAGGCACATATGGAAAAGGCTGGTACACTTGGAGGTGAAGTGAGTGTTCACTTCATTCCCAAAGTTAATACCCAAACGGCTCTCGTCTTTCTGAACTCTGCGTTTGGACAACGACTGAAGGGAAAACCGAACTTTCGTATTGTCACAGACATGCATCGTGATAATGAATCTCCACCGGAAAATGCTGGTGCACGGTTCCTTCTTGAAGTTCGCAAGCTAGGATTTGATTGTCCATGCCTTGTTTTCACCAGCAGGAAGCAAGAATCAATGCAAGAGATTACAAAGTTATTGAACCCAAGGCAACAGCAAAATATCAAGGTGACTACATCTGCTGGAGAACTGGAACAGTTTGTCAGTTTCAAATGAGCGGCAAAGTTTTCTTCTCAATTAATATTTGATGACTGATACATATTATATCTTGAATAAAGATTAACACCTATAGCCATTCAACTGACACTCACTTTGTTGAATTCTTTGGCGATGGATGATTGACTATCGAAAAAGACCGTGTTGTGAGATTTTGAATAGAGTGATTAGGAGGCAACTCAAAAACTCGACGATGTTCCTGATCTACCAATTTGAAAGTCATACTAGCAGCAGTGAATAGACAATGACCAATCCACAAGTAAAAAAAGTATTTTCAGAGACGTTCTTAGTGCTAAATGATCATCTCAATATTATCTCTCTCACCCTGAAGAAAAATGGTATCCCATGTCGTGAAAATAGCGATGAATCGTCCAAACTTAGGCGATTTTGACAACATGGGATGTTTTGTATTGTATAGAAAGGATTCAGTTACAAAACACGAATTACAAAACTATAGTGTAGTTCAAGTGGTGAGGATGAAGATGAGCCGAGCTACCGTTATCATGATTTCATCCCTGCTAGAGGACTCTTCAAGCGACTTTGACATTACACTTGTTCAGATGATCCAAGGTCACTTTATTTAGCGAAAACGACTGTTTGGTCGACTTTGGCCTGAAGCTTTTTAAATGTTTGAATGTATCTGAAAGGGTGTGGGTTTCTTCTTCACCCACACTCATACCCACATCCACACCCCACACCCACACCCACACCCACACCCACACCCACACCCACGCCCATCCACACCCACACCCACACCCCACCCACCCACACCCCACCCACCCACACCCACACCC